TAGAATAGAATAGAATAGAATAGAATAGAATGAAGAATTAGAGTGGAACGGAACGGAACGGAACAGAACAGAACAGAACAGAACAGAACAGAACAGAACAGAATTCTTTATTGGCCAAGTGCGATTGGACACACAAGGAATTTGTCTTCGGTGCATAAGCTCTCAGTGTACATCAAAGAAATAAGTGATAAATCATGATCACAGTCATTATAAAAATACATTCATCGTAAATCATAAGATACAACACTTAGTGATACTCATAGGATACTAAATAAGCAATCAAAATAAATCATACTAGGAGACTAAATAAAACAATCTAAATTGTAACGATACGAGCAACAAAGTTATAGTCATAAGTAGAAAAGGAGATAGGTAATAGGAAGGATGAGGGACGCGGTAGCTCAGCGGCTAAGACACTGAGCTTGTCGATCGAAAGGTCGGCAGTTCAGCGGTTCGAATCCCTAGTGCCGCGTAATGGGGTGAGCTCCCGTGACTTGTCCCAGCTTCTGCCAACCTAGCAGTTCGAAAGCACGTAAAAAATGCAAGTAGAAAAATAGGGACCACGTTTGGTGGGAAGGGAACAGCATTCCATGCGCCTTTGGCATTGAGTCATGCCGTCCACATGACCACGGAGACGTCTTCGGACAGCGCTGGCTCTTTGGCTTTGAAGCGGAGATGAGCACCGCCCCCTAGAGTCGGGAACGACTAGCACGTATGTGCGAGGGGAATCTTTATCTTAATAGGAAGGATGAGAAGAATAACAATAATACAGAAACCTTCATCGCGATGCATATGTCACATTGAGGATGGACCCCCCCCACTCCAATCTTCAAAAGCTTTGGGAATGTTTCCCAAGGCGCTTCAAATGGCCCTCGACCTGGGCTAAAAATGCAGATTGTGGCCGGTTTTGCTAAAAAGAGTCAATTTCCCAGGCGTTGGTGTGCAGAATTTGCTGGTAAGAATCAACTGACTTCAAGCCAAAGGCAACCTCTGAAGATCTCCAACGCAAACAAGCTTCGCCAAAACAAATAATTCAGTCTCATCGTTCAGTCTCTTGCCTGTTCAGGAGTTGGACGATCATGGCGGGTTTTATAAACACCCCCACGGACATCTGGTGGGGATTCTCCCACTCTGGATATAATATATTTCTTTACGGCATTTTTAGGGAGATTTTCAAACATAGTGAGCTATTATTTAATACTGGGAGGCATCTCCTTACACAGAAGCATTCTTCACGGCAGATTTTTTTTAAAAAAATAAGGATAATGAGATTTCCATGCGGGTGCTTGACTGTGGATTTTTATAACAGAGTTCCCAGAATTTCTAGCATGGCATCAAACGGAGAAGCGATAATAAGAAGAGAGAGATGGGGACAAATGGATTTAATGGATCGAAATAAAAGGCCGTGGGATTGTTTATTCCTATTGAGATAGTAAGTCTGTTCTCAGCCTCCGTTGAAACTTTATTCCATTTTAAAAGTGTCATTATTCAATGTAGGGGAAAATTAAAACACTGATAGAAGAGGATATTTGTTGAGTTGAAGCGGAGGGGGGGGAGGCTTTGTGTTCTCTGACGTTTCATGACCCAACTAGGTAACATCATCAGTTTAAATGGATTTGGTAATGGAACGTTTGCAAGAAAGCGCCAAGCTCAGAGAGCATCAAGGACCCTGTTGAAAATTAAGCCGCAAATACAAATACCTTCATTTCTACTTGGAAACCATTTCTGGGCTTTGTGCTTGAGGTGGGGAAAAAACCCCGAAACCTTGATTTTGGGTTTTACCGATTGGATAGATTTGTTGTTATAGAAATGGCTAGTTTCTATTATTAGGAAAAAGTAAAAAGTTGAGGGTAGATCTTCATGCCTTATTTTACCGCACCAAAGGAGTCGGAAGTCAATGCCTTTTCTTTTTTTTTTCTTTTTCCCTTGCTTTTCCCCCACACTATCCACTTCCCTTTTTCCTTTCCTAACTTCCCTAATGTTTACTTTTGTAATCCTCTTTGTATGTCATATTATAAATTAATAAAACTATTTAAAGATGAAAATTAAGATGCTCTAGAGCAAGGGTCTGCAACCTTAAATACTCAAAGAGCCATTTGGACTCGTTTCCCACAGAAAAGAAAACACCGGGAGCCACAAAACCTGGGTGGGCGTGGCCAACTCGACGTCACTCACTTCCACCAGTCACATGACACCCCCCTAGCCACGCCTACCCAGCCAGTCATTAGGGCAGAGAACCAGTTGTTAAAAAACACCGGGAACCACAAAACCCTTTTGACATATCTCTCTTTCCCCTTCCTCTCTCTCTCTCTCTCTCCCTGTATCTCTCTATGTCTCCCTCTCTCCCTCTCTCTCTGTATCTCTCCATCTCTGCCCCGGCCACTTCTCCATCACCTGTCGTCGCCCTTACCTTCTCAGGCCAGGTGAGGAGTGACTGGGAGGGGCGTGGCCAGCCAGTGGTTGGTTCACCCGACAGGGAGGCACAGCAGAGAGCCCAAAGAGCCGCATGCAGCTCTGGAGCCGCAGGTTGCTGACACCTGCTCTAGAACAAGGGGTGTCAAACTCAATTTCATTGAGGGCCCTATCAGGGTTGTGTTTGACTTTGGGGAGGCCAGGGTGGGCATAGCCAGTGGGACGTCACTCGTGTCGGGGGCGCCTGTGGTGGCCCTAGCACTCTGCCAGTGAAAACGGGCTCCATTTTCGGCTGCAACCCTCTTCCAGTGAAAACTCGGGAGGGCCAACCATGGCTGTCGCAAGCTCCATTTTTGGCCGTGACCCCGTTGCAAACCAATAGTAATGGTAAGTAGAACCCACTCCTGACCTGGGTCTGTATAGTTTCATGAAAAGAAGGACCAGGGGAGACATGATAGCAGTCTTCCGATACCTCAGGGGCTGCCCCAAAGAAGAGGGAGCCAAGCTATTCTCCAAAGCACCTGAAGGCAGGACAAGAAGCAATGGATGGAAACTTATCAAGGAGAGGAGCTATTTATTTATTTATTTATTTATTTATTTATTTATTTATTTATTATTTTGTATACCGCCCTTCTCCAACAGGACTCAGGGCGGTGAACAGCCATGGTAAAAATACAACATATAAAATTAAAAAAAAAAATTAAAAAACATTAAATACTTTTGGCCGTCAATTTAAAATAACCCAATTAAAACCAATTATAAATTTTAAAAAATTTGAAAATTGAGTTCTATAAACTTAGAACTAAGGAGAAATTTCCTGACGGTTAGAACAATTCATCAGTGGAACAACTTGCGTCCAGAAGTTGTGAATGCTCCAACATTGGACGTTTTTAAGAAGAGGTTGGATAACCATTTGTCTGAAGTGGTGTAGGGCTTCCTGCTTAAGCAGGAGGTTGGACTAGAAGATCTCCAAGGTCCCTTCCAACTCTGTTATTCTATTCCATTCCATTCCATTCCATTCCATTTATTTCTGTTCTGTTCTGTTCTGTTCTGTTCTCCAAAGCACCTGAGGATAGGACAAGAAGCAATTAGTTCTCTGGCAGCATTCCAAGGGAGATAAGTTGGATGTTTATAAACATTCCCCTGCAAGACTGTTTGTGAAGCCTTGCGGACTGTGAATGACAATAATTCACAGCTGTACGAATAAAAGAGGTTTGCCGGGACTAAGATTGTGTTTTATGCTTTCTAAGGAAGCCTAGATCAGAACACGCCTGCTTGAAAAGCATGTCTGGGAAAGTCATACGTGCATCGTAGTACGGAGGGGCAGAGATGAAGTCCGAAAGTGTGAAAACTTTCTCGAGACGTTAATTCTTTTGGGGTTGAAAGAAGATTTATTTCGGCTTTTTAAAACCGTGACCGGTTCTTATCGTTAATCCAGATGTGCATAAATGCTGACCTTTTTTTTTTTTTTTTAGTTTCCTGCAAAATGATTTCATGACTTCTAGCTCAGGGAATTTGGCGGGATTATTATTATACGCAGCAATTTTTTAGTAAGAACTGTCATCACGTGCCAGATAACATAAGAACAGTTTTGTTTTGTTTTTTTCCCTAGGGATCAAGATTAGCTTTAGTTAGGGTTACTACAGAGTAAGTTACAAACGCCCCAGGATGTCTGTAGAGATTCTCAGTCATCCCGGTCATGGTTGTCCCAAAAGTGCTTTTTAAAGTGGCAACTGGATTTTCTTTGTTTTTCCTTGAAGACGTTTCGCTTCTCATCTAAGAAGCTTCTTCAGCTCTGACTGGATGGTGGAGGATGGAAGGATTTACATTCCTTGCAGACAGCTGGTCATTTGCATCCTTTTTAGGGAGTCGTTGCGACCACTTGGAGGTGTATCTGTGTCCTCGGGATCGCCTGAGTGGTGCAAATGGGTGTGGAGTCTACAACACGGTCCTTTCAGCACTTCCAAGAAGGCTCCACACCCATTTGCACTACTCAGGTGGCCCTGAGGACACAGATAATCCTCCAAGTGGCCTCAACGGCTCTCTGAAACGATGCAAATGACCAGCTTTTCTGCAAATCTTTCCATTCGTCACCATCCAGTCGAAGCTGAAGAAGCTTCTTGGATGAGGAGCGAAACATCTTCAAAAGAAAAAAACCAGAAAGTCCAGTTGCCTCCTGAAAAAGCATCTTTGGGACAAGCATGACCTGGAGGACGGAGAATTTCTACAGAC